TGGTAGAATTGTTGAGCTCCCTGGACACAACACAGAGGAATTCTGCCTGGTCTTCATTTCCATAGTTATAGGAAGATCCAATGCTGATCAACTGTGCAACAGGAGACAGCCAAGGTAACTATYAGTAAGTCTTGATTTTATTCCTACAGTTACTGTGAGATAGGACTGTCCCAGGAGATCTGTTCTGGACCCAAAGTGTCCCCAGCAGCGTCCTGTGTGTGTGTGTAAGGCAGGGACACAGCCGAGCTCCACAGCCCTCTAGTGGCACCTGGAGCCCTGGACAGGAATTCCAGCCTGAAACTAATACTGAACACAGCAAAACATTGCCCAATTTCTGAGGGTGGAAAAAGGGAAAACACATTGTGCAATATACAATATCCAGCTCACTCAGACGTGGGCAGGCATTGCAAATTGCTTGGTCCTTGCTGAACCCAGCTCTCAMCCTGCCTTGTGACTGATGTGGAAATGGGAATTCTTTACCCCAGGCAGATGTTGGATTAACTGGGGACATGTGGCAAACAGACACTGTCCTTTATGTGGATGCTGCCAAGAAGGAGTCTGGTATCTGTGTAAACGGGATTATATTCTATTACTGTTGTGTTGAGGGGGTCTGGACTCAATCCAAGAAATCCCATCTGTCTCATTTATCATTATTACATTAAAAGGACATCCTGGAGTGCAGAGCTCATTTGTCATTTACAACTCAGTTCTGCTTTCCAGAAAATAAATCCAAGTCATCTGAAGAAAGCATTGTGGCTCTTATCAACAGTGTGTATGCAGGAAACTTTAATGTGCAGCATGCACTGTAATGTCCATGTCCTAATATGTTTTAGAAGAGCCAGCTTCATATTTATATATTTTAGATTTGAAAAGTAAGATTAGGAAAGATCTAAGGGTGYAAATGCCCATGAAAGGAACTGCCTGTAACCTCAAGGGTTTGGGGGTGTAGATACAGGTGTGTGAAARGCAGACTCTGTAAACTGCTGGACAGTAAAACCCGAGTTTTGGAGAACTGTGTTTCCATGGTTCTAGGTCACAAGGCTTCACAATTTCCTCACAGGGGCAGGTTTTCAGCTGCCTCTCCACTGAGCTAGTTTTAAGGTGTTACAGAAAAGATCTATAGGAAGTGCTGTTCCTAATCCTCTGCTTCACTTCATGTCAGCACATTCCCCACAGCATCCACTTGTACTGAAGCTGGACTAACTGGGAAGCTACAGAGCCTACTCTGTAGTTTCTTAATATAACACAATACAACACACAGGCCAGCCGGCTCCAGTTCTCCCTCCTTAGAAATAGGAGAACTGTATTTGATTCCAGAAACCAAACCTGGAAGTAATGCCATATGAACTGCACTGACACCAGCCCTGGAACCAGCTGCATTGCAAAGACATCTGCAGGAATTCTCGTGTCACTCAGTGCCTCTTTAGCAAATGCAGCAGTCATGGCTTTGAGGTTCCTGGGGAAGTCATGCTGTGTTTTTTTTTGATGGCTCTGGTAATTCTCCTGGGTAGAACTGTTATACTGTGGCCTGGTGTATGTGATTCRGTGCAGGAGAATGGAAGAAATGCTCTGGGATTTGACAAAAAGACAAGATCTGAGAGAAAACTAAATCTCTCTARCAGCTTTAGACTTCTGCCCTCCTCTGTCAGTGACTGGACACAGTGGATTGCTGCTCAGGTCAGGCTGCTTATTCAGAGGAGCAGAGCAGTGTGAAGTGCAGCTCAACARGAAACTCTGCTTATTCCATACCCAGCTTTCAAAGGAATTCTGCCATTCTTTGGTAACGGTACCTGTTCAAATTTCCATCCATCAGACATGGTGGACACCATCTGTGTGAGCTCTTCCTCTTGGCACTGCAGCACTCTGTACACGTGTTTCACAGGTCCCTGGAGCACAGAGAACAATTGCTGTAGTTTAATAATTGCTGTACTGTAGTATGAATCTAGAAAATTAATAAACCTCTCCTGCTCTTGTCTTAGGAAGTCAAAGCCCCGCAGGCTTTCTAAGGTTTCATCCCACTGACTCCAAACCAGATTCATATGCCTGGCACACTTCTCCTAAAAGCTTTCTAGGTGTCTAAGGGACAGTGAAARCAAAACTTCTTTGGCTTTCAAAGCCATTTGCTGCTTTTTGAAAACATTTCTGGAATGGAATCTACTGGGTGTGCTGCTRTCAGCTGAGCATCAACGGGAAAAACACCACAGAGTAACAAAGGGAAGAAAGGGTTTAGAGAAGGAAGAGTTTGAGCTGTTCTTTATCAAAGCAGTGTGTTTTGCTTTATAATCACACTTTTCTGCTCCTGGCACCTCCCTGTAAGTGTCCCTTGCTGTTCCCTGCAATGCTGAGATGAGTGGTCTGTGCTTTCTAAAGCCACACTGGAGACTCTTTCCTAGCTATGCCCTGCATCCACCTAACAGCTGTTACTGCTAAACCAAAGAACTGCTACTGCAAGGCTCTGCAGCCATGCTTGTCCTGTGCCACAGAACTGATTCCATRACTCCAAAGGGCATTACTTGAGAGGTTCTGTTCTCGTTGTCCCGTATCCGCTCCTTCACCAGCCGCACAAGGGACGCGATGTTGTAAAACTCAGCCTCTTCCAGCACCCCTGAGAGAGGAACCCAAAGGAGAGACAGATTCTGTTACTTTGCACAGGGCAGAATGAAGGTGATTCTGCCATAAAGATGCAACACCTGCTCCTGACTCCAAACCTAGCCCAAATGTCAGAATTCCAAATGTGCCACCCACCTCCTGCTCCCAGGCTGGGAGAAAATGAGCTGTCACCTCCTTTTGTGACTTACAGGATCTTTAAGGAAGATTATTCCCYTTTCCCTGGGATTATCATAAATCTCATGGTACAATGTCTGTTTTTTTCACTCAGCCCCATCAAGGGAAAGCCCTCAGAGCTGCCCACTCAGGGAGATCTGCAGTCTGTGAGGGGCAAAAAGGCTGTAACAGACCTTGGGCTCAGCAGAACAGTGACAGGGTGTGCTGTGAGCTGCAGCCTCTGCCTTCGGGAAGACAGAATCTGATGACTTAATCCCCATTAATGAGCAATTAACAGTACTAACAGCACTCCTGGGAAACTTGCTCACACCCTCACACCAGTCTCTGGTGAGGGCTCCTGGATGTGCTATCAAGCAGCACTTACAGCCTTTCTTGGKATTTTTCTCTTACCTTCCTCTGCAAGCTCTTTGTTTATGATGAGCTTCCCGTGCCGGAGGTAGTTCAGTATCGGACCAAAGTACGTGGGGTCTCTGTCGATGAGATAGGCCCCCGTCTCATCCTGAGAACAAAACAGGAATGGTTCAGTGGTACCAGGAAAAAAAAAATATTTCAATCTAACCCAATAAACTGAACAGTTTCTCTTTGATGACCTGGATTCATTTGCCTGTGGGAGGTGTACAAATGTCGCCACATTTAAACCATTTTTCTTTTTCTGTATCTGATCTACAAACATTGCAGCCCAGTAACACTGGCAGGTGCCTCACATGAACCACTTGTACAGTTTATAGACACACAAAAAAAGCTGGGCTTAGGAGGGATTGTTCTTCACTGCAATAATAGAAGTACCAAAACCTGGCAGTTGTATTCTATCTAGGTTTGTCCTCCAGACTAGTTTAACTAGGAGGCTCTGGAGGAAAATGGAATCTCCAGTTCTAGCTAAGGGTACCTGACAGCCAAAGTATTTTTTTTCCCTTTCTACTACTACAAACACACATTGCAATGCTCGAGCCACGTCTCCAGCAATACAACAACCATTGGCATTAAATAACCAACAATTCACAGMCAAAAGCATCCCTTGAGCAGCTTTGAAGCACTGACAAACCCTCTGCAGAACTCTCTTAACGACTTTAAAGCATTGTTTCCCTGAAAGCAATCAGAAACTATGCAAACCCACTCTGAAACATCTCCTCACTGATACTGCTGACTGATATTTCGATCACAACCAGGCCTTATCTTGCAATTAAACTCTGAAGGAACAGCAGCTGACCYGACTAATTCTGCCTGACCCACCTACAATATATTTGCAACACCTTGTGCAGTGGATCTTATGGAAAAATCTGCAGTTGCAAGAATAATTGTTTGCAGAATCCTTACGATAAACTGCCCTGACTTCAAAACTGTCCAGCCATTCAAGRAACGTTCACTGTCATCTTTTATGAGAATTAAGTCAAATATATTAAAAAACCAGAACAACAGCAATCATGCTCAGTATGAAAAATCCTAACATTCATGTTTCTAGGAGTTTCCTTTCCTTCCCTGCTGTAACCACTGTGGGAAGGTGGGTTGCTCCTTGAGCGGAGTGAAGGGACAGCTGGAGGTGGAGGGATCAGAGCCTGTGGCACTTGGGTGTCACAGCACCCGGGCAGAGCCCAGCCCCGTTCGTGGCGATGTCACCGACTCCGTGACCGTGGGACACGAGGGACAGGGCGATGGTGTGTGGCAAGAGTAACGTGCCCCGAAACCGTGGGAGATCGGCCTATCCACACCCGGGGCCGAACAGGAGCCTCGAGGGTGTTGGCCCGGGGGACACCGGCAGGCGGGAGTGTCACCCAGCGCGGGGGACACGTCTGGGACCCCAGTGACACCGGCTGCCGTGGTGGCTCAGGGAGGGGCTGTCCCGGTGCGGGGGGGAGCCCGGCCCGCCGCGGCCTCACCTTGTCGGAGCCGAGCTCGGGCCCGTCCTGGCAGCAGAGGCGGCACAGGAAGGATTTGGGTTCCCGGCACAGCGTCTGCCGGGTGCTCACGAAGTACGTGCCGCCCACGTTCAGCCGCACCCACTTGGAGGCGGCGGCGGGTGGGGACACCGCCCCGGCGGACCCCGCCGCCGCTCCTGCCGCGCGGGGGCTGGGCGGTCCCGGTGCGCCCCCGGGGCCCGGGCTGGGCGTGCGGCCCCTCGGCGGCCCCTCGGCCATGGCGGAGCCTCAGCGCCCGCCCGCCGCCATCGCCGCCCGCGCCGCTTCCGGCCCGCTCCGCTTCCGGGGATGAGAACTTCCGCTGGGATCGCCTTCTGATTGGGCGACGGGAGCAGAGGGGGCGGGACTTCCGGCGGCGGCAGCGCGGTGTCGGTCAGTGAAGGTGAGAGCGGGGCCGGGACCGGGATCGGGACCGGGATCGGGACCGGGGAGTGCGAGGGGTCCGGGAAAGGGGTCCTGGGGATGGGGAGCGGCCGAGGAACCGGAGAGGGGAATCGGGAATCCCGGGGCTGCGGGACGGAGCAGGACGGGGCGGGCCTTGGTGTTGGGAGGCCGGTGGAGAGGAGGGGGGGCGGTGTGAGGTGGCGGCGGGGCTGAGGAGCGACCCCCGTGTCCCGATGCCCCGTGTCCCAATCGTCCTTGTCCCGATCCCCCGTGTCCTGATCCCCCGTGTCCCTATCCCCCGTGTCCCGATCCCCCGTGTCCCGATCCCCCGTGTCCCGAGCTCCCGTGTCCCGATCCTCCTTGTCCCGATGCCCCGTGTCCCCATTCCCCCGTGTCCCGATCCCCCGTGTCCCGATCCTCCTTGTCCCCATCCCCCGTGTCCCGCCCCATCCCCAGCCCCGCTCCCCGTTCCCCGCTCCCGGCCGGCGCTGTGACCCACCGCTGTCTCCGGGCCAGGCGGGGCCATGGCGGGACGCAGAGCTGCCCTTAAGGCCGTGGACTGGGCGGCCTTCGCCGAGCGGGTGCCCGCCAACCAGCGGGCCATGTTCAACGCGCTGAAGACCCGCAACGATGCGCTGACCACCCGGTGAGTGTCCGCCCGCTCCTGCCGGGCTCAGCGCTCGCCCAGCCATCCAACTGTGAGTGCTGCTGCCTGTGCTGTCTGTGGTCCCGCAGGGCTGTCCTCACAGGTATTAAAGCAGGTCACCTTGAGGCGGCTGGTGGCTTTTTTTGGCAAATCACCTTTAGTTAATCCTCCCCAGAGTAAACCCGTCGCTGCAGTTCTGTGAACACGCTTTGCTTTGGGACAAGTYTTGTCACTCTGTTAAATGCTCTACAAATTCATGTGCAGTTCTCAAATCCTTCAGCATCCACTGCCTGATRCAAGTGCTGGCTCTTCAGGGAATGTCACTGATTGCCTCTGGCTCGGTGTAAAGCAGCCTCCTCCTTTCTTCGGGGCTGCATTCAGAGGGGCTGAGTGAAGCAGGGCAGAGCTGGAGGCTCTGTCTATTCAGAGGAGCCTGTTCCATGGGCAGAGGGATTTGCAAAAATGGCTTGCTTCAAACCTCAGAACACTTAAACTAAACTTAGCAGGCTGTTCTGACAATTGGGTTGCTGCTCATGTCTGCTGGGCTCCATCCCTTCAGGTTGGCTGCGCTGCCAGAGAAGCCTCCAGCCATCGACTGGGCRTTCTACAAAGCCAATGTTGCTAAAGCTGGAATGGTGGATGAGTTCCAGAAGAAGGTCAGTCTCCTTGTCAGCTGGGTATTGCTCTTTGGAGTTTTACTGGGGAATTGAGAGGAAAATGGGATTGGAAGAGGAGATTGGTTTTGTCACTGTGAGAATTGCTCCCCAAGATGGGGAGCACCTGCTGACCTCAGATGGGTCTGTGAGCTTTGTTTTGGGGGCAATAACTCTGTGATAGGRTAAGTCTGAGTGTTGGACCTTCCTGCTTCTTTACAGTGCTGTGAGGAATGGTTGGGGATGGCAGGCAGGGCAGAGGAGATGGCTGGAAACTCCTGGGCAAGGAAGGGACAGGAGAGCACTGTGCTGATCATTTCCAGCTCACAAACTCAACGTGGTTATGAGCAAACCTGTGGGAGAAAGAAGGGAATGCTCCCCTGCTGCAGGGGAAGACTGACTGTCTTCCTGACTTCCATGTGAAGGATTGTTTCAATCAAACAAACTTTATAAAAATTTGTCTTTCAATTTACAGTTCAGTGCACTTAAGGTTCCTGAGCCTGTGGACACACAAACTGCCAAGATTGATGCCCAGGAGAAGGAAGCTGTGAGTGAACCATTCTYTAGTGCTGGGGTTATCCCTGCCTTCTGTGGGGATGGGAAAGGGTGAAAGGGAGGRTCTGSATGTGCCAGGGCACAGCTCAGCCCTTCACACGTGTCCCTGGCTTTCTGAGCAAGGGGATCCCTGCACAGGRATGGGTTTGGCTGTTTGGGATCTGGGGGAGGTTCCATCACTTACCCAGCWKAACMATGGATTTTTRAAATGCTAATTTAAAGCATGGGGGGTGCACTCTGGGCTGCTCTGATTTTATCATAACCACACTCCCACATCCTCTGTTCCCCCCAGGCCAAGAGCACTGCTGACTACATCCAGGCTTCCAAAGCCCGGATCGCCCAGTACGAGCAGCAGGTGAGGCTGGACTTTGCTTTGGGAATATTCTCTGGACCCCACCTTGGCACAGCCCTTGCTCTCACCTGGGTGTGCTTTGCTCCTTCCTGCTGACCACTGACTTGTGATGTGTCTGTCCCTGCTTCCACAGCTCCAGAAGCTCAAGAGCATGATTCCCTTTGAACAGATGACGTTTGAAGACTTGAGCGAAGCCTTCCCTGAAACTAAACTGAACAAGGAGAAATATCCATACTGGCCCCACAAGCCAATTGCTGATCTGTAAACTGATCTGGGAGCAGTTTAACAACTGTCAGACTCCWTGAGCTTATAAATAAAGAGCTTTCTCTGTCTGTGGCTTAGATCTTAGACATGAGTTTTGAGTGGCATGGAGCACTACAGTAACTTGCAAATATCCCACTCTTCCTGGATTTTGTCTTTTCTACTCATGAGCTTGTTTTTGTAGCAAGGACCAAGCTCCCAGCCTGACCTGCTGATCAGAGTCCTGTCACATCCTCTGAAATGCAGATAAATCCTCTGTCCCTCTGTGGTACCATGAGGTGCAGGGAATGGAGTTCTCCTGCCCTTGGAGGAACACAGTTGCTCAGAAGTTGAACCTGTGAAGCCCTTTAAAGTGCTGGAGTTATTTAGCAGCATTTGTGTGTCTCAGGACTTCTACAGGCAGAGGTCTGGGGTTRTTTTCTGGGCTGTGATTGTTCAAGAGAAGCCAAATGCAAAAGGAGTTGAGGGAGTGCTGATATGTTAAGATGCATATTTAAAAAAAGTTGTTGTTTTAGTTGTTTTTTGAAACGTTTAATCCTGGTGATCTTTCTCTCCTCTGCCCTGGGTTTCTGAATGCTGCTGATCTCACTGGAGCTCACAGAAACAATTGTACACACCTCAGACTTCCATTGTTTTGTTTAAATATCTGAAGTGGAATTCTTAAACACCATTCCTCAACATGGAAATTTCTCTAAGAGAAGGTAATCAACTCCATTTCTTGGCCATGTTTGAAGAAAGAATTACAGATGAGTACAATGAAATCCCCAGATTTTGCAATTGTTTTATTCAAATACATTAGTAGTCCACAGAACACTTCAAGAACATCTGTAGTTCTACTGAACCAGAGTACAAAGCACTACACCTGCAGCTTTTGGGCTATGTGGATTTGGATTTTAATTTTATTTTATTCAGGCAACCGAAACATTTGCAGCTCTATGAACTGAGCAGGAGCAAATTTCAGCCRAGGGGTTGGAAGCAACACAGTGGAGAACAGCTGAGCTGGCACTGGGCAGAGCTSGCCTTCAGCTGCTCCATTTTACAGAAATCAGAATATAAAAAAACAGGGACAGGAAGAGGTGGCTGTAGAGAAGCACTTTCTCCAGAACTGACAGGAACGGGTCCAGCCCTTGCAGCTGCCAGAGGTGCTTGTTTGGCTGCCCTGGTCCCTGGGCCTTCCTGGGAGGGTGCAGCAGGGGGGGACCCCTCTTGGCCAGGCTGCCCGGGGCTCTTTTGGGGAGCTCGTGAGGGTCTGCAGGGAGCAAAGGGCACCATCAGCACAGGGCACCAGCACAGCCCACACTGCCTGGGCACTGAGCAAACCCACCCTGGTCCAACAAAACTGCAGGAAAACGCCCMAAACCTACTTTGTTAAAGATGGTATGGATTGTTTTACCTTGCTGGAGGTTTCTGAAAAGCTTGTCCAAGCGCAGGGATTTGCGCTGCTGGTACAACAGGAAGAAGGTGTCTAACACAGCCATGATCATGAGCAGGAAGGTKCCCAGGAAAAACACAACTGCAGAACAGGAGAATAGAGAAAACTGGATAATTGGCATTCTCTTACATTCCATTGCCTGGTGGGGAACAGGGAAAGTCTTAACTCCAGCAAGCTGATCAAGCTTAGCTATTCATGACTTCAATGTTCATAAACACAAATTTAAAAAACATAAACCTTTCTAGGGCTGGTACCTATGTGAAAATCGGTTTGTTCAATAAAGGTGGTACCTATTATGGGGGGTTTGTTGGAGGAGGTTGGGAGGCTGTTGTTGAGGATCACAGCCAGCATGGAGCTGCCGAGGATGATGGCGATCTGGAAGTTGATTTTCTCCTCGAGAGAGCTGGGTCCAAACAACACAGCCATGTCCAGCACGTACAGGGCACACGTTGGCAGGATCAGGTTCAGAATGTACAGAGTGGGTCGCCTCTCTATGGAAATCTATTGAGGAAGATGGGTAAAATTCAGGTGAGCAGGAGGTGACTCATTGTGTTACCAAGTGCGGGTTCCCTAATGTAAAAAATAATTTTGTTTTATACTGGCTTTTTTTTTTTTTTGGTGACAAATCAGTGCAATAGAATAAAGAAGTGCTGCCGTACCACATAGGTGACCAGAGAATAGTCTTTGTTAGCAAACGTTTCTGTGTATTCAATGATGCTCACGTTGGTGAACTTCCACTCTCCATCAGTTAGGAAGAAACTCTGGCTGTCTATCATGATCTCAGCTGGTGTCCGTTTTGTCTTCATGACAAAGTCTGTTACTGCTTGGGCAGGAGCAGAGAGAAGAGGGGAGTTGGARAATTTAGGAATTTATTTGAGGATGGTTATTCCTCTCCCTTTCCCACCCAACCCAGGGTGTGCAGACAGGGAAGGGGAAGGTTTCATGCACTGCTGGGGTTTCTCAGCCCATGAGGGAGAAATGAAAAAGGACTCTGTGAAGAGGCTTGGCTGGACCTCTGGGAATGCAAATCAGAGGGGAAACATCTGGTGAATTGGRGCAGTTGTCCTTTGTGGATAGGACCTGGAAGATTTTGGGTCACCTCTGCTTATATTTCAACATTTCCTGTTGGGATAAACTCTGACTGCAGTTTGAATCCCTGAAACTGGATCCTTTTAATGGCTGGATTTGATGCCCTTGGAAATCTTTYCCAACCTTAGGATTCTATGACTGATTTCCTCCCACTTCCCTGGCTCTCAGTGGAAAACTGTCTAGCAGTTTTGCAGGAAGCCTCCTGGTCTCTGCTCTCTTGGTTGGTAGAAACCAATCCTGGGGGGAGGACTCACCACAGAAAATCCAGATTGTTCCAGAGATGTTGCTGGGAAATGTGCCAGAATGGCAGCTTTTAACTCATTTTCTGTGATCTCATATGACCTCAACCCCAGTGTRAGCTGCTCAGGCATTACCAGTGCCCATCCCATCGATTGCCCCTTCTCCAAACTCAGCCCAGAGGAGGTAAAGCCCAGCCTGCAGCTGTACCTGGGTACAGGTATGAAGCTATGCTCAAGTTGCACGTCTGGGTGTCGAAGGGGAACTTGAGGATTACCAAACTGCACGTCAGGGTGACCTGGAAGGGCCGYGTGGAGTTGAAGCTGCCGTTGTGCCTGAGGACCATGTAATTCAGCTCTGGGTTTTGCCCGTTCACCCTGGAGGGAGCAGAAGGGGAGAGTGACTGAGCCTGGGATGCTGCCTGTGCCYCAGTCCCACAAAACCAGGCTGTGAACACCCTGTGGGGGGCTCTGAGCCATCCCCAGCCATGGGATGCAGCAGGAGAGGAAACCAGGGCTGGGGGAAAGGCTCAGGAGTCCTTTGGGAKCAAGATTTGCTGTAGCCCTGCACCTCCTGAGCACCTCCTGCCYCTCTGCCCTCTGCTTCCTGCCCTCACCAGGGCAGGGGCTCATTCCTGGCTCTGCTCCCTCTCCTTTCCCCTCTGKAGAGTTGGTGGAGGTGCCCACCCCTCTGTCAGACCCTCACTGCTCTGCCCTCCATCTTTCCACACGCTCCTAAAGGTCACTTTATTCCACAGMAGTGCTGTTTCTGCTGCTTCCTCGGCTTCAGCTACAGCCCAGATGGGATATTTCAGGAGCTGTTAGAGTATTACAGAGCCACTAAGTGCTTTGTATAAACTGTGGTCACCATTAATCTAAATTAGGAGGCTCTTGGTTACAGAGAGCTCGCGGGAACAACTTTTAGCCATCTGAGTTGATCCCATTTCCTACAGTAAAACCAACAGTTTGCATCCATTGGATTTCTCTTAAGCCAGTGGATAAAAATGAAAAGGGAACCTACCGCTCAAGGATGAAGATAGGGGGAGACCAAAACGTATCCATRGGCAGAACGATTTCGGAAATGTTACAGAAATCCTGCGGGTCCCAGGTTGCAAAAGGGTTTTGCCATTCCTGAGGGAAGAAATTGCAGGACAGAGATGAGCTCTGGGCTGGGCACCAGCCACCGTGTCAGACATCAGGAGAGAAATTCTCTTGAGGGACCTACCAGGCTCAGGACGAAGTAAAAACTGGCTGTCTGGAGCTTTTCCACCTGGAGAAACAAAGATCTTTAGCTGATTTTATCAGGTATAACCAATGCAGAGCCCAGAAGCTCTTCCCAATTCCCTGAGATTGCAGAAACTCAGCTSAGGAGGAGAGCTCACAGCTCTCGATCCTACGGCTGAACAGTGGGAACACAAGATCCAATGGTTTGGAAAAAAAGAATAGATTATTGTGAACATTTCCATGGCAGTGCCCTGAAAATGCACTGCCCRGTTCAGGCACTCTGCAGGGCGTTTTTGGAGCCTCCTGCCAAGCAGGCTGCTCATCTGGATGTGGCTTCTCCTAGAAGGAATGGGATAAAATACCCCAGCTCTTCCCAAAGTGGTTCCAAACAGCAGAAAGCTGCAGGAGTGGAAGGAGCTGATTCTCACCCCCATGGCCTTGCTGGCAGAAGACTCAAACCCCAGCCTGGAAATCACTCAGTTTCCTGCTGTAATGACTCATTTTGGGTTCTTACCACTGAGAGAATTGCCACCAGCATGAAATCCATCTTCACTACCACGGGCTCCTTCGGGTTTATCTTGGGCAGGATGTACTTGTGCAGCTTGTCATGAGAGGAGATGTTCAGGTAGTCAACAATGTCATAGTAGGTGCAGAGGAAATTGGGAGCAGCCCCTGCTAGAAAGAGAATTCCACTTGAAACACAAAAAGATCAACACCTCAACCTGTGAGAGATGCGAAAGAGAAAGGGTGTGGAGCTGTGGATGAAAAAACATCATCAACACCCAAAAATCCCTCCTTACACAGACAAGAACAGAATTCCTCGAAGGTTTTCTATCTCTCTTGCACCTACCTGTCCCAAGAGAAAAGGTGAGGATGGCTACAAAAACTCCCTGCATCATCTCCTGCTTCCAAATAAGGAGGAGGATGGTACCGTGTGCCTTATGAACAGGTCCAGAACACGTCACTTGTTATGTGGAAGTTGATTTGATATTTATTAAYGAGGGATGGATTTTTGTAAACAGAAGGCAAACGTTTTATGTATTGAAAGGAAGAATTTGCTAATGGTTTGATGCACTCAGCTGGCTCTTGGGAGCAGCCTTTAGTTGTGGTCAAGGGAAAAATAAGGTCATAAAAAAAATCCCACAATTTGAGGGAAAGGAAAAGAAAGGGCCCATCCCCACAACAAAAAAGCAAAGAGCCAGAGCTACTCAATAGCAAATTTTGTCTCATTTCCAGAGCTGAGAGTTTGCTGCAGCCCCACTGGAATGGATCAGGAATTAGTGCTGTGGGGGAGGCTGCTCTCCTTTGAGCCCGGTCCTGCTCCCCAGCAGACCACACYATGGCCTCATTTCCCAAAGCGCTGAGCATTCCAAGCACCCATGGATATTCTGGWTCTGCCTCCTTGCTGATCTCCCATGCTCCTGATGTTCTTCTCAGAGTCCTCACAGTTAAGATGAAAGGCTCAGAGACTTTTGGGTTTTTTATCTGGCTGCATTTTCCTCTGCTGCCCTCCTCTCCATCTCTGCCTTTTTTTTTCTGCTTTCATCCCAGTGATCCTTGTGGGTCCCTCCCAACCCAGGACATCCCATGATTCTGTGAATGGCTCCAGGGAGGCAATTGCAGGCAGCAAGTCCCACACTTGATTCCCSCTCCAGCAGCAGAATTCCCCGTGGCAGCAGATTGTCCTTCCCCAGCCGTGTCCCACTGTCATCCCACCGTGTCTCCTACGGACCCTCGTGTCCCTCACGGACTCCCGTGTCCTTTTCCATTTCTCCTTGTCCCCCAGGGACGCCCCTATCCCCCATGGCCCCCTGTGTCCACCAGGACCCCCACTGACTGCC